CCAGGCTGGATCCCTGAGGATCCTCTGGGGGACGTCATAGGCAACCCCCGCTGCTCACACTCAGAGCATCCACACTGCTCATCCCTGCAGGCACCAGCTGAGCTGCTGCTGCTCTCTCTCCTCCCTGTGCCAGCCTGGCCTGCTTGTTCTAGGATGGACAGCACTGTGGGATTGAGAACAAATGTTCTCGGCCTGAAAATGGTAGCCTCATGTCGTGGCCCTGGTCCTAGACATTGCAGTGTGTGTGTGCTCAGTGAGATCATTTTCAAGCTGTGGTTTCCAGAGTGCATGGAGGACAGGAGGAAGTTTCCCTGCACCATCACTCTGGCACAGCCAGGGAGTGAGCTGCTTGAGGATGGGCTAAGGACACTGCACAGACACTGCACAGCTGGTGGGAGTGCAGAGCCATCGCCCCAGCAAACCCGGGAGCTGCACTGAGGGCACCCAGAGCTGAGCCTCTAACACAGGCAGCGTCAGGCCCAAGTCTATTCCCAGGCTCAGTGGCTGGTTTCATGAAAGAAACCTGTCTGTGGGCTTGGGCTCATCCCGCAGCTGTGTCCCATTGGGACAGGCCAGTCATGCAGGACTGGGGCTTGCCAGGGGCTGTCGTGCAGGGCTGCTTCAGCGAGGCAGTGCGGACAGCAGGGACATGGGGCAGACCACCACATGTCCCCTGTGCTGGTACCTTGCATTGCCCAAGAGATTTACCTTCTCCATCCCACCATTTCCCCCATCAGCCCTGTGTCAGAAGTGACAGTCCCCAGGGACACTGTTCTGGTGACATCCCAGCTGGAGTACCGTGCTCAGCTCTGGGGTCCCCAGCACAGGAAGGACATTGACCTGTCAGACCGAGTCCAGAGGAAGCCACCAAGATGATTAGAGGGGTGGAGCTATGAGGAAAGCCTGAGAGAGTTGGGATTGCTCCATCTGGAAAAGAGAAGGCTTTGGGATGACCTGATTGTGGCCTTTGGGATGACGTGATTGTGGCCTTCCAGGACCTGAAGGGAGCCCACAGAAAAGATGGAGAGAGTTTTTTTTACAAGAGCATGTACTGCTAGTGACAGGAGAAAGGGGAATGGCTTCAAACAGAGAGAGTAGGTTTACATTAGATACTGGGAAGAAGCCCTTTACTGTGAGGATGGTGAAGACACTGGTACAGGTGCTATGGATACAGCCCAACCCTGTGAGGTATTCAAGGCCAGGTGGCATGGGGCTCTGAGCAAGCTGGTTTAGCAGAAGATGGCATGGCAGCGGGGCTGGAACTAGGTCAGCTTCAAGGTCCCTAGCAATCCAGGCCATTCCGTGATTCCATGATGGGAGGCTCAGGCCGCTACGGCTCTTCCGGATCAGCTCCTGAAGCCTTCCGCGAGGTTGTGATGTGTAACGTGCGTTAATGCCCCTCTGCGGAACGACGGAGGCAGCGGGGCTGGGAAAGGGCGGGAGCCGGCCCCGCCGCCGAGCCCGCCCCGCCGCCGAGCCCGCCCCGCCGCCGAGCCCGCCCCGCCGCCGAGCCCCTCACACAAGCCCCGCCCACACACCCCAAACGCCGTCTCTCGTTCAGCCAGGCCGCGCGTACATTAACTCAAGACCCGCCCCCACTCAGTGTAGCCCCGCCCACTCAGACAAGGCCCCGCCCCTCCCGGGGCCGCCGCCGTGGTACGGGCGCATTGGGAGCCGTGGGGCGGGGTGTGCTGTGCGCGGCTCTCGCGAGAGCTGCCGCGGTCATCGCGCGGTGCTTGCCGGGCGCTCTTTCCTTTCTGGCGGCCCGGCCATCTTGGCGGCGCGTCTGCGGTGAGCGGGGCCGGGCCGGGGGCGCGGGGGCCGCTGCGGGCGCTGCTGCCGGGTTTTGACCGCTCCCCTCCATCCCCCTGTGTTCCAGGTACCGCCCGAGCCGCGCGAGGCAGCAACATGGTGGCCGCCAAGAAGACGGTGAGTGAGAGCGGGGCCGCGCCGGGCGCACGTGGTGGCGGAGCGGCCGGGCAGCGCCCTGGTGCGCGGGGGGACCCTGGCGTGGCCCGGGTTGGAGCCGGGGGTGCTGGGGAGCCCTTGGGCACAGCCCATCGCGGCCCTCAGAGCTCGGACCGTGGCCTACTGCCACTGGCCGCGCCCCCGCGATGTCCCGGGGGCTTGCAGAGCTCCTGAGATGGCTGCAGGAAGGGAGAGGTGGTGCCGAGGGGGTCCTAGTGCGGGTGGAGTTCAGGTTTTGCCTTTCCTGCCATGTTCTGGCCTTTCTTTTACAGAGGTTCTGACAGATCTGAGTTTCTTGGTCAGAGGTGGTGATTTTGTCCGTCAGATACGCCTAACCTGTTGTCATGAGCATCACGCTCCCGTGTTGTAATATCAGTTCGATATCGCACAGAACTCTTTCTTTCTGCTTCTTCATGTAACGTTGTCAGTGTGTGCCCTGGGGAGAGAACCTGGCTTAGATTTGCAAGGCCTTGACCAGCAGAGCTTGACAAGAGCTTGTCAGATACATGCAGATGTCACTGATTTATGTAGATAGCAGTAACAGTGCTTTGAGATGTATTTTTCTATTGAGAGATGTGGGGATAAGAAAGAACTTTCTGAACTTGGGAAAACACAATATCAGCAATGCCCCTGTCCATAAGCTTTCTTATACTCTGGTGACTGACTGGCCTTTCCTATTCCATGTTTCAGATTATAGGGAAATTATGAAAAGTGCTCATATTTGAAATTTCTCTAATGTGTTTTCCATTATTTTGAAAAGCGTGAAGTAACACAATAACACTTCTCTACATCTTTTTCAGAAAAAGTCCCTGGAGTCCATCAACTCCAGGCTTCAGCTGGTTATGAAAAGTGGCAAATATGTGCTTGGGTACAAACAAACTCTGAAAATGATTCGTCAGGGCAAAGCCAAGTTGGTCATCCTCGCCAACAACTGTCCTGCTTTGAGGTAAGCAGATGTGGGAGAAAACAATTCTGAGATGGGCTCTTTGTACAAATGCAGTGTGTGCTTCATGCTAATTGCTCCAGAGACTTAATACAGAGGGTTTTGCTGGCATATTCTAGGATGCTCTGAAATTTGTCTGGTAGTTTGCTGTGTAATGATTTCAAGTCTAGAAGTGTTGAAATGCTTCCTGGTGTTTTTCTGGCTTCTGATTCAAGGAGTTTGCACTAGAGAAAGTCTTGGAAGCTTTTCACACTTGATAGCGTTCACTAAGAGTGTTACGGGGCTGAATTCCTATGTTTTTCCAAAGTAGTATATTGGAAAATAATTTTATAGCTAGAAAAACTGATAACAGATTTAAAATATTTGAAGCACTTTGTCAAAGTTAGTTATAAATTTGGGGTCCTGGCCAGTGAAACTGATTTTTTGAGAATGTAATTTGTACTAGTATCATGATGTTTTCCTCATTGAATACCTGGGCCCTTTCTGTTGTTGAGGGATATTGACAGGCTCAAGACAATGTCAGTGCACAACCCAGAAATTAGATACTTGAGAAATAGCAAGACTGTTGCAGTGGGCAGCAATCCCCAATATTAGTGGGGATCTGAAAATGGTTGGGAAACAGTATTGACTGCTAGACTCTCCTAGTGGAAGTCAAAAGAGAGGGCAGCATAGATGGACTTTTAGTTTTAAATTAAAATACATGGTTCCTTTCTCAGCTGCAATACCTGTGTCTCTCTGTTCAGCATCTGGTCACCACTGGCCATCAACATTAACTCTTAGTTTATGCACTTTGGCACATAAAGAAAGGCCTTCCAGAGGTCTGCAAGTGCTGAATCCTTCTACCATGTAAAAAAGAGCCTGAGTAGGAGCAGCCTGAAGGGTTTGTTGTTACAAACCTTCAGCAGACACTTAAGTAAAGGTTCCTGAGCCACAAGTGTGGAGTGATGCTGCCTCACAAGAAACAGCTGTGTTTCTCTGGGTGAGAAGGAAAAGTTAAGGGTTAAGTGTGGTAGGAGTTAAAGCTGCTCTCTCTGTATTGCAGTTGGTCAGAATTGTTTGTGGTCCTGTTAACACCCAGTTTTTGGATTTCAGAAAATCAGAGATCGAGTATTACGCTATGCTTGCTAAGACTGGTGTCCATCATTATAGTGGGAACAACATTGAGTTGGGCACAGCGTGTGGAAAATACTACAGAGTGTGCACACTGGCCATCATTGACCCAGGTAATTCCCTCCTGCAGTGTAGGGGCCAAATGAGGAGGTGTCTGTGGATCCTCCCTTCTCCTGTGAGTAGCAGCACTGAGCAAGGAATGAGCAGGAGTGATGACACACTTCACTGCATTTTTCTATCAGGTTTAACAGTTAAAATTTTCTCTGACCAAGATCCTGTTCTTTTGTGAGTCCAAGGTTCTCAGAACCTGGAAGCACTGCTGCTTCTCTTGCACATAGCTCTTTTACTGCTGAGCCCTGTGAGCATTTTGTCAGTCTGTAGGGAGGTTTTGGTGTCTGGGAAGCAACTGTATGGGACCTGTTTCTGAACCCATCAGCTAGGACATGAGCTTGCACAACATACTGTTTACAACAGCCCTGTTTGACTGTTCTTAGTCTGAGACAAAGGGTTGTCACTTGTCCTGCTTCCCAGAATAGTATATAGAAAAATAACCAATAGCAGGTGGATATTCATCAAGGGAATGAAAATAGTGTTAAATGCTTCATTTTAAAACTACATTTGTATGTAATTACTATGGTTTGGTCACAGTCTTTGCCCCGGAGAGTTGCTCAGATTCCTTATAGAATGCTAAGTAGGTGGCTTCTCATCCTCTTTCCAGAATGTTTTAAGAGAAGAGTCAATCCCTTGTTCTGTTTGTTCACCAGAATGCATACACATAGATTTAATGATTTCTGTAATGACTTTAACCAGCTGTTCCCCAAGTCACAATGATTTGGATTTCCTACTGCTTCAGGAAACTTTATTTAGCTTCCTTGTATTCAAATAGTAGCTGTAAACTTAATTGTCAAAATGTCACTTTCAGGTTTGGTTTTGGGTGGGGTGGGAGCTGTAAGTCAATCCTAATGCTCTGAAGCTGACAATGCGAATATTCTCGCTGTCCTGATATCTCTGTGATCAGGGGAGGCTAGACATTCGCTAGAGTAAAACTATGCATTGTGTCCTCCAGGACTAGATTCTTGTTTTAGTCCTGGCTTTGTAAATGCTGGTGACAGGTGTGTAATTATTGGAAAGTACTGTACTTGGATTAGAAAAACACAGTTACAAGTATTCTTATCATCAATTTTATCAAAATTATTTGCTTTTTTCCTAAGCAGACTGTCTGTTCTTTTAGGTTGTTTTCTTTTTCTAGAATCACTGTGGTGATTTTATGAGTAGGGGGTGTTTTTCTTACTTTTATTCCTAAAATCATCTTTCCATGGGTCCTCTTCTAACAATACATTTTTGTTTTACAGGTGACTCTGACATCATTAGAAGCATGCCAGAACAAACCAGTGAGAAGTAAATGCTGTAAAGGTGTTATTTCTACAATAAAACTGGTTACAGATCTCTTTTAAAGAAAAATTTGTATTATACTTTTGTTGGTTTTAGGGAACAAACTATATAAACGAAGATTCATTACCACTGCTGTGCTTCTTGTTCTGTTAGAAATAACCTCCACATGGCAAAATTTGCCGTTCTGTCTGTAGGCATTGTGGATCTTAAGAGGTAAGTGAAGGAAGGCTTGATCATGGCAAGTATGGTGCTAAATCCCAACAGGCTGAGGCTCCCTTAGTGTTTGCTTTTGGAGTGTTAATGCAAACACAAGCTGTAACATAAGGGACAATAGCAAATTTGGGATGTTGGTGGGGAACCCTAAGGGTTTAATTATGATAAATATTTCACACTGTTTTTACCAAGTGAATCAAGTACTAATGTGCATCAGTTCCTTTGTCTTTTCCATCCAAGAGTACATACCTGTAAAAGGACAAACAGGATATAGCTTCTAGATGTGTAGTATAGGCTTTCAGTAAGATACCAGTTAACTTCACAAAGCTGTTTTTAAATCAGTAGCCTTTTTTTTTAGTTTTCTGAAGATAATGGAGACAGATGAGCTGGCGTTCTCAAGTCAGTTGCTGAGAATGTCAGTATCTTAGAGATTTGTGCCTGTTTTGTTTGAGACCATGGCTGCAGAATCTTCCTTATTACTAGGGATTGTTAATTGAGGTGGCAGTGATTTTCTGACCTGGTAAAAGCAAACACCTAATGAAAATCAGGATGTACCTGTAACCTCTCAGAATTCCAGAATATGCCAAAGCATGAGGTATCTTTCAAAGCTTGCTGTTGTATATCCATGCACACTCACCAGCTTGTCTGACATCACTTAATCACTTAAGTTTTGCTGCAACTGCTTCTGTTATAAAGTGAATGAAGTTTGGTGTTTCCATTTGGAGATAGTCAAGAGGCAAACTCCGAGATGTGTCAGAGTAAAGGAGTAAGTGCTGGTATATTTACCTATTAAAGCATAGATATGGATGTGTTGCAGTCAAGGGAAGGGAGTGAGACTTGAAGACACTTCAGGTGGCCAGAATAGAAGCAGTTTGCTTGGTTTTGTTTGTGTTTTAGTGTTTGACAGGTGTGCACCTAGCTGAATTGACCAAGTAATATTTTCAGAATTAATATACTACTTGCATTCAGGAAAGTTAGAGAATCAGTGAATACTGACCGAAGGACAGCAGGGAGAAGTTGAGTAGTCTAGACATAAGGAAAAGTTTTTGAAACTTCCAAGTTGTGATGCCCTGATAACCCAGCAGACTTCCCACTTTGATAATTTAATTCCATCATAGTTTAAACACAAATGTGTAATTACATTTTTACTTCCTACTGATTCCAGTAGTAACTTTTTTGAAGAATCCAAGTCAAGCCTAATGGCTGTGAATGCTGTCTCAGTTGTTCAGTGTATATCTGTACATAGAACTATATATATACACACACAATCTGTGTGCTTAAAATACTAGGAGTGGAGGAGGGAAATACAGAAAAGCAAGTCAAATTCATACCCTAAAAATACTTCAAAACATGGAGGTATCATTTCAAAAAATAACACCATTTTATTATTTTGCATAGCTTATTTCAGTTGTTCTGCTTAATTAGAACTTCTGCTAGTTACTAAATTGTTTATATAAAATTAACAACATTTCTTATCTGCAATCAATGCAAGACAACACATGGCATATAAATGCAAGGATCCAGAATATTCTTTTCAACTTCAGACACAAAGATGTTATTTTACTTCAAACCAGTTTAAGAAAATAGCTCTGACAAGTTTGTATGTATAAATATACAGTGTAGTGTACACTTCAAATTCTGATCAGTATTTTAGTCTGTTTTCCAGGTCTTCCATTCTCTTTGTCATTTCTTCCAGTAGATAAAAGTTAAGGAAAGAGAGCTACTGATAAAATGCATTAAAAAGTCAGCTACCTGATTGCTATGGTCCATAAACATTCTCGATTCTCCTCTTAGAATCCCAGTAGTTTCTCATACAATATTCCTTTATTTTCTTTTGATTTGATCAGCTGAGTTGAGAAAGCTGTGTGAAGCCCCATTATTTAAAAGGTTTACCTTGACATGGAGTTCAGACTGTAATTTATTAAAAAGGCTGGTTCTACAAATTGATTGTTTTTCTCTATTTTAAAGTGAAGGTAAATATTTATCTAGTTAATGCTGTTTAAAAATGTTTCACTTAATCATGTGGAAAACTGCACATAACTCGTAATAGATTATAGAACTATGGGGCTCTGAGACCCCAGTAAGAATGCTCCTCATGATCTGTTCCTGTCCACAGTTGTGACAGTGGTTTCCAGACAAATGTGGAATAGAGCACAACAAAGTCCATGGGATCTAGGGCTGGTTCCAGTTGCAGTAAAAAGCTGTAGCAATACAAAATAATGTACAATATCCCTTTCCTGATAAGCACTTCCAGTTGGCAGGAATGCTGTCTCCTGCAGGAAGATGTTGGACCAGTACTGTTTACTTCAGTCCCTCTCTGAGTGCCATGGAAAGGCTGCAGCCAGGGGAAGCTGAGAGGAAGAGGAGGCCTAGCATCAAGTGAGATCTGAAGTCACTGAGATCTACCTCAGAAGTAAGAATTTGCTGCACCCCACTCTTTGCTTGTTTGACTAGAGTCTTGATTTCAACATTTTAACATCTTGCACAAGGGAAAATGGAGAACTGGGCATATAAATTGGGATCTTTGACACATTGCTGTTCGGAATTTTTTTAGGGCAGACAGGCAAATGGAATTTGGCCTCTAGATGTTGGCCAGAACAGCTACTGTCCCCCTCATTGTCAGCAGGAAAATCTCTTGCTAGTTGGGAGCAAGGGTGTGTATCTTGCTTCTGTGGGTGTTCGGTCTGCCTGGACATTGGGTTTGGTAATTGCTCATCTGTCTGCTGTGGCAAGGTTACTCTGCATAGGAGCACCATGTGAACTGCATTTTCTTCAACAGCCATATTTCTCAAGTGTTCACAGAGGCAAAGTTGAAACAGTGAAACTGCACTCAACTTACTGATAAAAGTTAATGTAGCTGGACACAAAACAGTTTGGACTGGTCCCTCTGAATTTGTATTGTGTAAATGGAGCTACTTTTGTAGCCAGTTCTCCCTCCCCCACTCCCCAGATCTCTGGATGAGGACTAGCCAGCAGTCTGCAGTTACCAAGGACTAGTGTAGCACCTCATACCTGAGCTTGCTCTTGAGATAAGGCAGAAAAATTGGGTTAGTAATAAAGAGGAAACTGGATTGTTCATACTCTTCAAAGCAGCGGCTGCACAGTGCTCTGAGGAAATGCTTAGCACTATTCCTATCAAAATTTCTAGTCTCTGGTTTGGTATTGACAGGTTTTCCATTACCTTGAGCCATTGGAGTAAAAATCACAGTTGCCTGCTCAAATGGTAAAGCAAAAAAGCACACGTTGCTAAGCTTCTAAGCTTAGTAACTAAGTTCTTTGAGTAAGCTCAGACCTCCTCACAGCTCAGCTGCAGGAGATTATGGTAAAGAGCTTCTGAAGGGGCAGGAATTGGTCTTTCTTGTCAGCATGCAGGCTGGAATACTGCATGTCATGTAACAGTTAAGGATGTGGGAAATAACCTAGAAATTTTTCTCCAAATTTGTTGGAAGAAGTCCTGTCAGAGCAGTATGTGTGTTGATGAGCATTTGAAGCACCTAGCAATAACCTTCCACGATGGCTTTCTCCTCTTTTATGAAATCTGCTTTGCATGGAGTTATTAAATAAAGTGATTAGAACATAATTCCTTAAATGTCTGCCAAAGGATTTACTTGGGAAGGTGAGAGATAGGCTGGCTGTTGCAGGTAGGCAATGTTCTGCATCAGGTTACCAGCCACCGAGGGCTCTGCTTGCCTGCCTCTGGACTGCCTGTTCACAGTCTGAAGCTGTCCTGTCTGGGAAGCAGTGATGAGCTGTTGGTATCACTGCACTCCTCTGTGCAGAGGAAAAGTGCTTACTGCTCTTGCACACAGTTCCACAACTCAAGTAGAAGATGTGATGTCTTGTTAGCGTTTATTTGATCAGAAGCAGCTTTCGTGAAGAAGACAGGAATTAGCTGCATAAATAGTGCACAATGAGTTGTATTGCCAGTTTGCTGCTGTTTCCTGAGGTGTGGATATTGCAGGCTGGGTAAAGGCTGCTGCACTAGCAGCTCCCTTGAAATAGACTGAGTGGCAGAAGCTAGTGATCTGCACTTTGCTAACTTTTATCTGTATTTCTTTTAATGCAAGATTAACCAAACCTGAGTCCTCTGATTTCCTCCTTATCTAGAGTATGGTTTTAAATGACTCTCTGCATAGGTGCCTTACCAAGGAGTTCAGCAGGGAAACATCTCCTGTACCCCTGTAGCCAGTAAATACTATTTCAGTAGCATCTGAAGAAGTAACCCAAAGCAAAGCATGTTAGTCTTGAATTTGACCAGTTGTTTCTTTGCTATTCCTGAAGATGTTTACTGTAAGGAGTTATTAAAATTCAAGATCCTTGTTAATATTTTGGTTCCTTCTATGAAGGAGAAGCAGATCAAAAGTTAAAGGCCTTGCTTATTGGCAACTATTACGTAGTTTAGATTTTCATAACAATAAACTGTTTATAGCTATGGAGGCAGTTTAGCCTTGATCCAAGAACATGTAGTTTGTTTTAACCTGCCTTTCTTACCTTACCTGTAAGGAGCAG